ATGTATTCTCAGTATTCTGACTAACTGAGTCAGAATACATGGCTTCTTTATTTCTTTATTTCGTCTTCTTTATTTCCTTCAGAAGCACAAACCTCCACAAGTGCAAGCTCCATTCCACCTGCTTCCTACTTCAATACAGATCACAAAGTCATCTGCAAACAACATAATGCCATGGCGACACCAAATTCGACTCATCTGTCAAGCAGTTAATCATCACTGTAAAAGGAAAAAAAAAATCAAATCAAGATCAAGCCTAATTAGCAACTTGGCAAACAGGAAAAACACACCATTAATCATTCTGATGGATCCATTAAAGAAAGTCTTTAGCCTTTATCCAAAATTGTAAGTCTCTATGACGTGAATGCTGAGCTCAGCCCATTTTTATTTGCCTTCTGGAATTAGTGACACATACTTTATTTCTACTTCAATAATAAGTTAATAGAGTTAATTATTCATCATAAAATAAACCTGATAATCCAATGACACTCCCCAAATGAAGTAAAACCCTCCAGGTTGTGACACAGAGATATCCAGCTCGGGAAAAAGTGAGGAGCCTACCGCACTGAACCTCATTGAAAACCTCAAGTTTATTCCACCAAATATTGATTTCTGAACTCCTCCTAAATTAAAACGTGATGGTTGTTGTTTCTAATGGAATGAACTTGTTTTCTTTGCATCATTTGACATCTGAAAGCGCTGCATCTTTTTTCATTATTTTGACCATTTCTCATTGTCTGCAAATAAATACAAAATTTTTGCTTGGAATTTCAGACATGCTGTCAGTACGTAAGAGAATAAAAGAACAATGTTCGTTCTACTCAAACATATACCTGTAAAAAGTAAGAAATTGATCATTTTAAGTGGCCTCTCTTTTTTTTTTTTCCAGAGCTATAAATGTGCTAATTTAAGACATTACATCGCCTTTAAAACCAAGGTTCTTGATCAGTGCTCACTAACATCAACATCAGTGCTCACTATCACATCAACTGTTTTAAAAACATTCAACAGCAAATCAAGCTAATCAATTTAGTTTTTTTTTTTTTTCCCACCATGATAATAAACACAATACACTTTGTAGACAACCAGCAGCAATTATTTTCAGCACATCTGCAAAATGTCTTGAAGAGAGTTTTTTGGGGGGTTTTTTCCACCTCCACCAACAAAGCCATTGGGCCCATTATGAGAGCAGTTTAAGTGGGAAGACAAAAAAAAAAAAAAAGTTTTTCTGAAACAGAAATAGATGCAGATAGAGAGCACTGACAGCCACACAGGCCTCACAGAGTGCTCATTAGCACTCCTCGGTCAACACATGAAGTATTAAAAGTGCATCAGCTGTGCACCCTACCAGTCCTCTCCAACCATGATGTGGCAGCAGCTTTTCTTTCATCTAATGAGTCATCCCACGACTGAATTCAGCGAGCCCACCGAGAATTTTCTCCAATATTTTTTTTTTTTTTTTTGAGGGAAAGTCAACTTTTTAATTTACACGAGAACGCCGAGGGGGGGAGGGAATCATTAGCATCGGTTCTTCATTTTCAGACACACACACACACACACACACACACACACACACACACACACACACGGGTTCAACACAGCACAAACCGGATCGGAAACACCGGAGCTCGTTTAAAAGCTGCAGTCAAAGGTTCAGTTTCACCTGCTGAAATCATCCATCAGTCAGCATCAGCACCCGTCTGTCGGCTGCAAACTTTCACTAATGGACACGGGGAAAAAAAGGGCTCAGCGTGGCCGCAGTGGCATAAATTGCTAGCGTTAAAATTAACCAACGTGCTGCTGCGGAACCAAAGAAAAACGTTTTCAAATGGATGAAGGTCTCCAGGAACTGCATCTGGACCTTTCTGTGGGATTTCCAGAAGAACCACGTGTAGCTCCATCACGCTATTGTTTGAATGCGTAATATACCACTTTTGGAATGTCTGACAGATTATGTCAGTATCCCATTTCACACTCTCTTTTTACAAGGCCATCAAAATTCAACACGCTAACCAGTGTTTCTCTCAGATAATAGACGCAAGCACTCCTGCCCATCTTTCGTTTTATCGGAGTGCTTTATGAGGTTGCTCCTTCACATATATTCCTGTAAACAGTGCAGAGGTGTTTATTGCACAAATCCAGAGGACCGTGCAAATACTCAGAGGGGGATATCAACAGCATAAGTCCTTGAGATAAAAGCTGGAGAAAAATGTGTCGCCGTCGTCGTCGAAATATATAAAACGCCATTTTTAAGCACAGACAGTGATGCTCAAGTGTTTCCACATATCAAGAGAAATGCGATTCTCCCCGATGTTTTTGTTTGACTGTTTACAATATTTTCACTCCAGTCATTTATGTTTTTTTCCGTCCTAGGAAGCAAAGTAGTTGCCAATATAAATGTCAATCTTCTTTATATCGCACTTTAAACAAATAAAATTGCACCAAGATGCTGCACTGCAATGATTATTTAGAGTATCATCAGCAAAGCACTTGACTGGGATATGGTACCTACTAAAGAACCCAACAGTAACATAATAGGGAAACTACTATGGGGCCTAAAATAGAGTAACAGTTGATAAATAATCACCCACTGGCTCAGAGAAACACATGCCCAGTTAGCAGGCCAATGCACAATAACACCTCTAATGTCATTATACCAATTAATCCGTTATAAAATGATGTTCTGAATTACAGTGTCAAAAGTGGTACAAACTTGTCGGACAGAGTAAATCTGGTCCGTAGGAACAAAGAGGTTGAAGACCCCCGATTAAGGTTTGACAGAATAGCATTATCCATTTTTTTTTTCATTTTTATTTCTCTAATATCATGACATCTACAACACATACCAATATCTCCCTCGAAACTGCCAGAGTTCTGAATCTTTGAAAGTTTCACTGTAATTTTTATTCATCTTCTTTTGACCCCCATTGATTGCAAAGTGCTGCCAACAAAGCATGCAGCGTTTGCAATACATTTGTTATATTAGACAGTTGGTTGAACTGCTGCGATCCTTTATGGGGTCTACTGTTTAAAATGCAAAGAAAGCAATAAAATAAATTCATGTTTTACTGCAGAAGTATAATTTGACACTTTTTCCTTAATTTTGACAAGCCCAACCCTTAGTTTGAGCAAAATGTATTGCTCAAAATGTAAAATGTAGTGCAGAAAAAAGCACTGTTTAATAGTTCTTCTAAAAAAAAAAAAAAAAAAAAAAAAAAAAAAACCATTACAGGTAGACGAGAGATAGAAGCCCATTTCTTTTAGCAGAGCAAAAAGTGCCATGTTGGGGCCAGATTGTCTGCAAAACAACTATGAGATGCTATCAGCATGCAAACTGATTGTTTATAGCAGAAAATTGGCATCTTCTTCTACCATCACAAACATAAACTTTATGTAAACTTTCCTGGGACAACAGGGTATTTGTTTATATTGTCAGTGCTGTACATGCTGTCAACAGTTGACAACTTGATGAACTTAAAATGCTTTGAGAGGTTTTTCCTGATTAGAGATTTCCCCTCCTTTAACAGGAAACCGCCTCCGTCACTGCTGTGCATCCCTTTCACCTGGATCTCGGGCCAGCTGACTGTTGAGGAAGTGATCCAGAAATGCCTCAGCGGTTAGTAAGCTAACAAAAGTCATGACGTGACTTGAAAGTTTTGCTTCCAGTTACAACCAGAAACTTTTGGGAATTTATGTGACAGACCCACACAACACAGTGCACATTTTACAAAAAAAAACAATCTGAAAAGAATTGTGTAAATTTGTGGTGGCAGCATCATCCTGCGGGAGCGCTTTTTGTCAGAAAGGAACAAGGTTCCCAACAACGCTGAGGGGAAGAAGAAAACCTGCTGGAAGCCGAAAATGGCTCACAATCTCCAAGAAGGCCAACCATGGACAATTACAAAGTTGAGCTCAAAACATGTATTTGTCGGGATGGCCCAGTCAAAGTCCAGACCTATAACCAGTCAAGAATCTGTGGCAAAACCTAAAAGTAGGTTTTCACAGGCTTTTGCCATTCAGCATGACTGCAACACATAAAATGTTCCATCTGTATATTTGCAAAGCTGCATTTCCAGATGGTTCTAAAAAAAAAAAAAAAAAACATTTAGTGAGAGTCAATAAAGATGCTCACAATTTCTTTACTGTATAAGAAAGAGGGGGAAAGTATGATTTACTTCATTTTTACAACAACACACGCTTATATATTGATCCATTGTAACATGACAAACTGTGCAATACTTTTGGTCTATAATTATGTTTAGATAGGAAAATAATAGGCATGATTTTAACCTATAATAAGCGTGTTTCTGGCTACTGCTGGGTAGCTTTAATCTGTGATTGTCTATCCGCGCGCTGACGGTAACCTCCGAAAAAGCACCGCAATAAATCACGGCTTTTCCCATGTAAATAAACACAAGTGATAAATGGCATGGTCCGTTTTTAGCTGGACTCTTCCGTGTACAGCTCACTAGCAACAGAAACTGCTATTACGAGTCCAGATATCCCACAGGAGAGCCAAGTTTTCCGACCAAGTCGCAAAGCGTTTGAGCAAGCGGAAGAATTAAAGGAGCAATCGCGAACTTATGTTTTGAGTGTTGGGCAGGGCTTCCAGTCAACAGACCTAAACGGCTACAAATAAGGAGCAGCCTGGAACTAGATGGTCAATTTGTAGCAAATCGAGGCCCCAACAACACAGGAAACAGCGCTGAAACTAGGCGCGCCTCTAACAATTCCCAATCCACACTCTTCCCCACAAAAGACGCACATTCCTTGTTCTGCATTTCAGGCGAACTAGCGGGAAAACTCTGATTTGCGTTCCTCCACTTCAGGCACATTTCTACCTGAAACTCTCCCACGCCGCCTTAACAGAGCCCCCTCAGCCGGCCGCTTTCTAATCCAGTTCCCCTCCCTCTGCCCCCATAACTTGTCCAGTGAAACTGATAGAAGAGCAGAGGGCTAGGGCGAGAGCTAGCGATGGGAGCATGCAAGTTTTTGTTACGTACCAACTCCATACTTTTCCTTCTTTGAGGGCACCCAGCGAGACATCCTCGGAGTCGAGGCTTGGCTTCCTCGAGTTTTGTCCTGTGTCGCCGGTTTAGAAAGCGTCAAAACGAGCGTTTGTTTTTGACTTCAAAACAGACTTTTTCTCCCCCTCAGTTTTCTCTGAGCTTTGGGGAGCTGCTCCGAGCAGCCATTTTCCAACAGTGACAGGACGCTCCGCAAGGGGGAGGAAAGGAACACAACTTTTTCACTCGGTAGGCGTTCATGCAGGAGGCATCCTGCTCGACTTGTACTGCTCTGAAAAGTGTGACTGACACTGCATGACTGAAAACATAAGCAGATAATCGTTGCTTTTAACGTTGTTTCATAGACATGCAATGTTATGCATGTATGACTTCTTCCCACTAAATTAAAGTATCAAAAAATATAACAAAAATATGTATATTTTAATACAAAAATTAAATCTATGTGTTATATCATTTCACACAGTGAAAATGTTCAAATATTTATTTCTAAAAACCAACACCAAGAGTATATTTCTCAAATGTGACTCTAACCCTAGTGCGCTGTATCCAAAGAGCTGAATGGAAAGTTTAGTGGAAGGACACGCACCATGCATAACTGCAGTGCTTGAGAGGGTTGTGATACAAAGTCCATTTAAAAGTGTTTTGGGAATCTTACAAGGCTAAGACTATGGCTGGAGTTGGTGGTTCCAGGGCCAACACACTGAAACATTTGCAGGACAGGAGCTGCTACAACTACTGGATTTATAAAAAGCCACACTTGAAACAAACAAAACATCAGCAGTCACATTCACCAGGTTAATGAGAAAGGGGACTGGAATGTTGCACCAACTTACAAAAACCTCAAATTCTGCTTCTCACATCCAAATTCTGCACATCCTGTATACCAGTGAACTTTTGTCTATATGTTATTGACACAAAACAATTCTGAACTAGATCTGTAGGCACTCTGTTGGCAGCTTGTTCAAGATAAAAACTGTGCAAAGTCATTTAGCCAAATGCATATGAACAAACAGAACAGATGTTTCAACTCTGACACTTTTCAATTCAAGTTAATACCACACAATATTCAGCTACTAACAGATGGTGGGGAGAGAAAAAAAAACAACAACCAAAGTGCAAAGAAAACTTTGAAACACTTTCAGAAAGTCAGAAAACTTCCAATCTCAAACATTCAAACACTGAATTAGAATGCATAGAGCATACACCAATATCTGACTTTTCTGGTGTGAAGCTGGCAGAGTAGAGGTATCCAAGCGAGCCTGTTATCTCCTGAGCCAATAAGGGATTTCTCTCCTGTGATTTGCTAAACAAACCTTAAGAAAGATGCACCTGGTCCACACATTTGAATTCATTCATCTTTATTCATCTGGTTTGCAGAATGGATAACCCTACTGGGTCCATCCTGTGCTTCATTGAAGTCTCTCAGCTGCATGACCTTCACACCCTCACTTGCTGTGTTGGTGTTTTTCCAGTAGAGGGCGTTACTACTTTCAAAATTACTCTGACCAGGCATAACATTATTACCACTGGCAGGTGAAGGGAATAACAAACAGCTAAGACAGTAATTTTTTTATGCCCCCTGAGAGATTAAGGTTTTAAGTCATCTTTTAAAGTGATCAATGATTATTCTAACTTTTTAGAGTCTCATCTTGAATCTGATGGAATATCTGTTGAGGAAGCAAAAGATTTGAGTGATGATAAGGAGGCCTTCTAATCTCAAATACTTCTAGCTCATCACCAAAAATAAATAATGAAAATAATTCCTGAATGCCATTTGTTTGTATGATTGAGGAGGGTATAAATATGTTCCAACGAGGCTTATTTTTTATTAAATGTTGACAAAAACAGATTTAATTTAAAATCTTGGTTGAATAAAAATTATTTAAAACAACCTCTTCTGAAGATTTAAATCATGTTTTGGTTAACTTTTGTTGCTTTATCGACCCATTGCTACTTGGTTCCTTTTCGAAAGCTCTCAGGGAAATAATTGCATCTCTTTTTTATGAACCCATGTACATTCTCTCTTTATTGCGAAGAAATAAAATAAACAGAAACATTGGCTGGGCCGAATTCTTCTGCCTCCACATGCCGCATGGGACATCATGTGGGTCACAGTTGCTTATCTAAGAAGACACTGGCCCATTTTAAGACGGTCTTGCTGGAGTCACACGGCTCAAATGGAGGCTTGAGGGTGACAACGCTTATCATCAGACACTGACCACGAGATCACAGACAGACGGGGGGAGAAAGAAGATGGGGGATTCACCAGAGACAAAATATGACGCAGAAAGCAAGCCATGGAAAAACACGGATAATCTACTAATTAGAAATACACCTCGATTTGTGACAACACCTCACAAGCATTCAGTGTTCTGTATGGTTTTTGGTTTAAGAAACGGTATCTCAGTTTCAACGTCGATTACTGTCCTCCTTTAGATGAGCATGCATTGAGTCAACAAGTGTTTTCTTTCTTTCTCCACCAGCAAGCCCATCCCTCCGTGTCTTTCTCTTTTTCCTGCTTCATTGGCTGTTCAGCTGTTGTGCTCAGTAACTCTTTTGTTTGCCAAAGCATCCCTCACATTGCTACATGCCTGACTGGAGACAGTACCCACCAGCACCTACTTTACACCAAGACAGACAGTGTTTGCTTCCCAAGAGCTTTGGACTGAGAAGAGTTGGAGTCAAGAGAAAAAAAGGGATGTATTTGGTGAGTATTAGAAACATGATCTTATAGATGCAGGGAATTGTTGGTATAGTCACTGGTATAGTAACCTGAAATGTCTTATATCTTATCACAACAGATCAACAGGAAAGATGACCTGTTGCTAATTCTTGCTCAGGATTACTTGGATCCCTTCGAGAGTGTGTCCAAATATTTATGCCTAAACTCACAAATGGATTCTATGTAAAAGGGCTTAATTTACTGGTTGAAATTCAAGACCTGAAAGTGGTTACTTGAGATCCCGAAAGATGACTCTCCGCAAGCCAGCTGCCCACCCAAGGAGGGCTCCGGGCTGGAGAAGGTCAGGAGATGAGTCCTATTGGGAGAGCTTTACGTCAGGAGAAGAGTCTTTACCTCGAAGATCTCTGATTTCCCCTGCGCCTCGGCCGCAGAGCGCCATTGAGGGGCGCCAGCTGGACTTCTGGCTGGAGCACCTCAAGACAATGCAGAGCAAAGGCCAATCACCAATTCACAATGTATCGTTGGACGATCGGACTGCATCCATGCCTGTTCTCGAGGGACAAGTATCAGGAAGAGCATGGAGGCAGACGGGCTTTTCTTCCTTCAGCGCAGCCTCGTCTTCATGTGAGAGCTCACCCAGCAGCCAGGAGTCCCTCCAAACTGTGTGGTTTCCCTCTCCAGAGCGCAAGGGAGGCTGGGAGAAAGCTCACATCGTGAATTCGCCATCAAAGGAACAAGCTCAGCTCAGTTATCTTGCTCCAGTCAAAATTGGTTGGTTGCCAATCCAGAGAAGAGTAATGATGGTGGGGAACACTTGCGCCCAAAACCAGCACTTGGACGCATCAGGTGGCCAAGTAAGATAGACACAAACCCTGTAACTAACAGTGGATTAAATCATGCACACTCTCCTTCTAGTTTTCCCTAACATTCTCTGAATTGTTTTAGCTTCTTGAGAAAGGGGTCGGGGAAGAAGGGTTTGACTTGTGCTTATTCTGAAGTTTTGAATTTTGTTCTTTAGTTTCATTTTACTGGTAAAAGACAAATGATCAACCGACAAAAAACCCCAAAACAAAACAAAAACACATTATATATAAGACATACTTTGATTTTATTTATTTATTTAGGATATTTACTCATGTGGGTCACAGATTATATTGGTCAAACAAGTGCATAATTTCAGATCCTCCTGATTCCAGCCCATTATGTATTTTAAATGTAACATGTGAAGTTTGCACCATGCCAATTTTCCATCACTGTGGGAAAGACTAAAAAGCTGTCACAGGACACCAGGGGGAAACATAACAGATCTCCTCTAGGCTACAAAGCCATGGAAGACCATGAGCAAGAAGCTTGGTGAGAGCGAACATTAACTTGGACTGATATGACTATTTGGAAATGTAAGAAATATAAAATAATAATCAATATGCAGAATAACAGAGAAGACGGAAATGTTGTGGTCAAATGAAACCAAAGTCAAGACTAAAACAGACATAAATTTAGCCACATTAGCATGCCATGTTTTGAACAAAGAGAAATACCGAATATGCAGAATTTTATTTAAAATATTTTGGTGTTTCAAAGAATTCAAAATAGTGTGCACTCTAGCAACATTTCCAAGGCCTTTGGAAGAGAAACAGACCCACAGCACCATAGATTATCCATCATACTTGACAGTGTGCATGAGGTGATTTCCATTTCCACCCATCAAAAGTCTTTGTTGTCAAAAAGCAATGTCTGTCTCTGATAAGAGCTCTCAGTTCCAGTAGACTTTAGCAGACTCATGTTAGTCATGTTTGTCATGGCAGTACAGAAAAAGTTGTTTTTATTCTCCCATCCCTCCCAAACAACCAGTTGAAAATTAATAATTAGTTGAATTATTAGACCCTTGTAGAGAGGGTCTAATTATTGCTATGGAGACACGGTGTGTACAAAATGCCAATAATTCCATTTTGGTCATAGAGCTGCATAGCCAAACTCTGAATCTTACAGAAAATCTAAGGAAGAAGCTAAAGCTTTGAGTTGCCATAATGCAGCAGCTAAGAAAGCAAAAGGATTTCCAGAGCTTCTGTGCAAAGGAGTGGGTCACAATCCCTGCTGAGATGTGTGCAAACATATTGACCAAATACAGGAATTGCTGTGTGTACCCTCTGGGCCAAAGCTGAAAGTCAGGTTTTACTTCGGGTTCAAATTTGACTCAGCGACATAAAACTTCTTTTGTCTTCCTGTTCTGGTTGACATTCTGCCTCTCATAAAAATATACCTATTATCAAAATACCTGTTCCAAAATTAATTGCTGTTAAGGAACAGCAGTTACTGTTAGTTAACTTCTTTAAACAACTAATTTATAGTTCAATGTTTAAAGCCTTTATTTAAAGACCCCATTATGAAGCACATTCATATATTAACAGCTTAGCACACCTCAAACTTATAAAAAGACTTCTTCTACAGAAGTCTTAAAGGAGCCATTTAAAGAGAAATGAGCTGAAATAAAAATAATATGGATTGTAAAGACACAAGAAGGAAGGCTGGAAGGTACAAAATGACCAA